GATTATAGGGTATGTTAAAGTCAGTGTGATAGAGACTTGAAAGAAGTAATGATGTTGGAGCAGTAAATTGTCTCCTCCTGTCCTATATATAGGGAGTGTATGAAAATGTGCAGTTTCTGTTTGGAGTAGGCTGCAGCAAGGAAATGAACATAGCCTTCTTTGATGCCATTGAAGTTGTAGGCTCCTTGAAGGTGGTGAAAGGGTTGAGAGGAAAGTCAAAATAGTGGAGTCCATATCATCTCAAGTCAGAGTAAAACAAAAAGCCAGGTTTCTTAGAAACCCTGTTTAGTCAGTATATTAGGCAGGGTTCTCTAGAGGGACAGAACTAATAGAATATAGATATATGAGTTTATTAAGTATTAACTTACACGATCACAAAGTCCCACAACAGGCTGTCTGCAAGGAGCAAGGAGAGCCAGCCCGAGTCCCAAAACTGAAGAACTTGGAGTCAGATGTTCAAAGCAGGAAGCATCCCGTATGGGAGAAAGATGTAGGCTGGGAGGCTAGGCCCATCTCTCTTTTTCACGTTTTTCTGCCTGCTTTATATTCACTGGCAGCTGATTAGATTGTGCCCACCAGATTAAGGGTGAGTCTGCCTTTCCCAGCCCACTGACTCAAATGTTAATCTCTTTTGGCAACACCCTCACAGACACACCCAGGATCAATACTTTGTATCCATCAATCCAATCAAGTTAACACTCAGTGTTAACCATCACAGTCAGTTACTTTTGAAAGTTCTCTGATTTTAAAACAAATTGTTTGTTCTGTTAAACATTTGGTAGGATAAGTCAGCTTGAATTTAGAGGTTACATACGGCCTTAAGAATATGTTTCTTTAAACACTAAAATTTTGAGATACCTTAGGGAGATAGATGCCCATAGTATGAGAGCCACATGGAACTAAAAGAATATTCAAGTCTCTTCTATTTTGTGTTTACTGTGAGATCTGTCATTTCTTTCGTTATCATGTGTTCTTGATTATTCTGTGTAATGTGATGTGTGTCCTGTAGTGGACATGGTGAAGTGAAGAAGGAAATACTAAATGAGAAGAAAGAAGGTTAATGACTGAGATGGTACAATTTTTTAAGAGTACAATTCCATGTAGTTAATTTCACTTACAATGTTGTGCAACCATCACCATTATAGATTTTCCACAACTTTTTTTTTTTTTTTTTTTAGCATTACAAACAGAAGCTCTGTACCCATTAGGCAAATAACTCCTCACTTTCCTTCCCTCAGTCTCTGGTAACCTCTGATACCTTCTGCTTCTATGAATTTGCCTGTTCTTGATATTTCATATAAGTAGAATCATACAATCTTTCCTGTATC